TACTTTGTCAATGACAATTACGAGCAGGTTTAACAAATTAAATTAACAAAGATCCGTCCGAGCAATTAAGCACAATAGCCGAGCTACTTATCTCAACTCTTCGTCCGAGCAGAAAAGACGAGCTGTGCGAACCTTCTGTTCATCCGAGCAGAAGTCAAGCTATGAAAATCAGCCGTTATTCCAAACGACGTGCCTCGATTATTGCACCCACTTTTCTGCCCCTTCATTATTAAACATTTGGATTTTCGCGCCTAAGAATCACGACCCTTGGATCTATTCTAATCCTACGGTCCCTTTTATGTTGTGTCACTTTCTATTTATTCTCTTAAAGAGGGGACGTCTTATTCTTCCCCAAATCTCCATCGACTGCTTCAAAAATTTCAAAACCCTAACCTCGTGCAAGATCCCCTTCTGCAAATTTGTACTCCACTTCGCCAGCGACCCTTGTTGATTTTCGATCTTCGTAGACTCTTCTTCCAATCGGCAGCCTCCTCTTATCATGGGTAAGTATTCTCCTTTATTTGTGTAATTTTTTCTTCCTGCCGTGATTAAATTCTGGATTTTTTTGGCCGCCATCTCTATTGGATAATATATCCGGACATATTGTCTTCTACTATGATATATGTATTTTCTCTTCGGTTGGGCATCTCGAGATATTCAGTCGTCCAATTTAGCTTTTTCGGCCGCATATTTTGACTTGTTTCGGTCACCATTGCTCGCCAATCGGCCGTATTTATCGATTTTTACAATTTTCATTTCCTCTGTATATATGCACCTACTATTTGCTTGTTATTTTGAGGCCACGATCCAGCAACCCGCCGCATTTGCTACCAACAAAGACCCCTCGGTGCAATCATCTTATCTGCTCTCCATATTCCAGGCAATGAGGCCGACCGTTTGGGCGGATGAGTTATTAAAATTACCGCAGCGAGATGCTTCATGCAAAATTTGGCCCGGACTTATTGTCACCCGCCCATCGGTGGGCCTCATTGCCTGGGAATATGGAGACCAGACAAGATGATTGCATCGAGAGGTCTTTGTTGGTAGCAAATGCGGCGGGTTGTTGGATCGTGGGGCATTCTTGTTCGGTGAGAGGAATTTTTTTGGACGAGACACCTGCTCCACTCGATGCCTTGCGCTTGCACGAGCTCGGTAAAAGCTCGAGGTCTAATTTGTTGAGGTGATAGTGGCTAAAAATGGTATAAGCAATTAAAATACGAATGTTGTTTGGTGTAAGTTGGTTAATGGGGAAGTTAAAGAGCTCGGTTAAGGTAAGCAACCCTTGGCGAATAGGAAATCGAAGACCACTGGCTTGGTCGACAAAGAAAGTATAGAAGCCCAGAGGAGGAAGGTTGTACGAGCTACCTAACGATGGGGCTTGAAAAACCCAATCGGGGGAAGGTCACACAACCGCATGAAGGCCTTTATTTCGAGCTCTTCGGTATAGAAAAAAGGATTAGGACGGACAATGGCCACGGAATGCGAAGCTCGTCTTAAGGAAGGATTGACAGTTTGGTCGGTACCTAGTGTGACGTCTGCCTGCCGAGCAACGTATCTCGGATGAAGGCAGAGGAATGCCTCGAGGAGGGTCGTGCGGTAACAAAAGAGAACTCCTATCTAAAATCGGGGTTAAAGAATCCCAGGGAATATCACCGTCGGCTTCACCACGAGGCTGTAAGATGGACCTATGGGGTGTAGCTCAGTTGAGGGTATCGGGATGAGTAACGAGCACTTCATTCGAAGAGTTCGTGTTAGGATCGGAATGCTCGGAGGGCTCAGATGTTGAGGATACCGTCACAACATCAAATGGATTATGAGCAACAACATAGCCTTTTAGTCCCAAGCAAGTTGGGGTAGGGTAGAGATGAAACCCAAGAAAAACCAATGGTACAAGAAACACAAAAATGGGTTATGAGCGGGATCTAAAAAAAAACATGACAAAATACAGGCGTAATTTACCGAAGAATGCCATGGCCGCAATAACAAGCAAATATAGTTGGTGCATATATACAGAGGAAATGAAAATTGTAAAAATCGGTAAATACGGTCAATTGGCGAGCAACGGTGACCGAAATAAGTCAAAATATGCGGCCAAAAAAGCTAAATTTGATTTAGACGACTGAATATCTCGAGATGTCCAACAAAGGAGAAAATACATATATCATAGTAGAAGACAATATGGCCGGATATATTATCCAGTAGAGATGGCGGCCGAAAAAATCCAGAATAGGAAGAAAAAATTACACAAATAAAGGAGAATACTTACTCATGATAAGAGGAGGCCGGAAGAAGAGTCTGCGAAGATCGAAAATCAGCAAGGGTCACCGGCAAAGTGGAGTACAAATTTGCAGAAGGGGATCTTGCACGAGGTTAGGGTTTTGAAAGTTTTTAAACCGGCGATGAAGATTTGGGGAAGAATAAGACATCCCCTCTTTAAGAAAATAAATAGAAGTGACACAGCATAAAAGGACCGTAGGATTAGAATAGATCCAAGGGTCGTGATTCTTAGGCGCGAAAATCCAAATGTTTAATAATGAAAGGGCAGAAAAGTGGGTGCAATAATCGAGGCGCGTCGTTTTGAATAACGGCTGAATTTCATAGCTTGACTTCTGCTCGGATGAACACATGGTTCTCACAGCTCAGCTTTTATGCTCGGATGGAGAGCTGATTTTCATAGCTCGACTTTTGCTCGGATGAGTCGGTTAAGAAAGACCTTAAAGATTGGAATATCTCCAAGGATTTAGCGGTGGATAGGAGCGCTTGGAGGCTAGCAATCAACGTACTAGAACCGTGACTTTTGCTTCTTTCTCTTTTGCTCTAATCTCTTCCTTTTGTTTTAAGCCCTTTTTGTGTTTCTCTTACCATTGGTTCTCTTGGGTTTCATCTCTACCCTACCCTAACTTGCTTGGGACTAAAAGGCTATGTTGTTGTTGTTGTTGTTGACTTTTGCTCGGATGAACAGAAGGTTATCACAACTCATCTTTTCTGCTCGGACGAAGAGTAAGTAGCTCAGCTTCTTATTGCTCGGACGGATCTTTGTTAATTTGATTTGCTAAACCTGCTCGTAATTGTCATTGGCTCAGACAAAGTAGGACCGAGCAGATGGATAATTTACTTTGTTAATCCTGCTCGTAATTGTCATTTGTTCGGACAAAGTAGGACCGAGCAGATGGATAATTTACTTTGTTAATCCTGCTCGTAATTACCATTAGCTCGGACACAGCAAAACGGGCAGATTCATAGTCCGGTTCGTTAATTTAGGAATCGTTGTTGTCATCAGCTCGGATAAATCGGAATATAGCAGCGGCTCGATCTACTGTGCCGGTATTCATTATCAAACGAGTTTATTGAAGTTTTGATAGCAACAACACGTTTGATAATGGAGGGCTAGATGATATAGCATAATAAGAGTGGCTCGGTAAACCGGCAATAGACTGGTGGGTTTAGTGAGCCGGAGTTAAATAGGCCATAAGTGGGGTGAAGGAAGAGCAGTTGCTTGGCTTAGTGGAAGAACAGTCTGGCAGTTGTAGCTCGGCCTTACAGGTTCAATAGTAGCTCGGCCTAAAGGTTATGCTAATAGCGCGGCCCAATAGTTATGTCAGTAGTTCGGCTCCATGGACATGGTAGTAGCTCGGCCATATAGCTACATTAATTGTGCAATCCTATATGGGCTCGGCCCAACAGCAACATAAGTTCGGCGGCATAAACGTTTATTATAGTGGGCTCGCCCTACGAATAGCTTGTCAGAAGCCTTTGGGCTTAAAGAATTGGGCATAGGACTAGATTCATAGCCGAGCAGATATGTAAGTTATTAAAATGGTCCACGAGGGACACGTGTAAGGTTAGGATCAAAAAAAGAATAAACGATCCGACGGAGGGAGAGCAAAGCATGTTGGGAAACTAATAATTTCATATAAATTGGTAAACCAGTGGAGAAGGTAAGGCTAATCAATCAATCTACAAACCCTAAATTCTATACTTAGCTTTCCTCTATTTTCGATCTCATACTGAGTTGAGCGTCGGAGGTTTACCGCCGGGAACACCTCCCGGCGTCTTTGCAGGTCTTGAAGCGGTCGAGGATTGAAGGAAAGCCGGTTCAAGTGCAGGAGCACATCAGTCACTATTATTGCTTATCAAAACTCTTCCTTGACTAAACAATGCTTGCGTCCAAACACGACATAACAACTGGAAAGCAAACATTCAAGCATAAAAGACCCATGGCCATTCTTCCTCTACGAGTCACTACATGCTCTCAATAGCACTTATTACAAAGGCATAATTCACTCAAATTTAGATATTCAAGGACTGTTGATTACTCAAATGTGCTCACACATGAAATTTTCTCGACCATCTGAAACAAGGAGGATAAACAATGGAACAGCAAATCCGAACCCCTTTCCACTAAAGCCAAACTCTAGGTTTTCCGATCAATAGTTTGTTGTCTCACAGCAAGCATTATTGACTTGGATAAAAATTAAAAGTTTCCAACTTCCATTTTCTTGTGAACTCAGCAAGTTGAACTGACAAAGGATTAATGCAGTACTGAATGAAGTGAAGTCTACCTGTTCTTCTAATCGACCCAATTCGCAATCATCTTGTCCAACAAATCAACCACTTCCTTCGAGCCTAAGGTACCACAATCCAATGCCGCATTAAGATCCAAAGCTTCCTTAACCCTTGCCTCCCTCAACAAACCTCTGTACACCCACATTCTGATCTCTCTCCCTATTACCAAATCCCCACCCGCCATAACCTGCAAAACACGAAGACTATCCAAACTCATCCCCCGCTTGCAAAACCCATCAACCAGAACAGCATAAAACTCCAGGTCACCGGGAAGTCCACCGGGAAAATCAGGCCTCGACATCCACTGGAAAATCGTTACGGCTCTCTCCGGCTGCGCTTGCCGGAAGAAATGGGAGACTAACATTTTGGCAATTGGTACTATAATTAGGGTTTTCTCCGGACTGGAATTGTATTTGAGGGAATTGAGCAAATGCATGGGATGGGCGAGATCGGGCTCGAGGGCGAGCCGGCTGACGAGAATCGAAAGCGGAAGTGAACTGAGAGACGGATTCTCGGTGGAGAGAGCGGCGGCGACGAGCTGGACAGCCTCTTTGAGGTGGTTGGAGGAGCAGAGGCGAGGGACGACGTCGTTTATCTGTACCAATTCTTCTTCGGTTAGGGCGGAGCTTCTATTCGTGGTGGTAGTTGCTGTAGAAGTCTCGAACCGTCTGGTCGATAATGAAGGATACGGAAAAGTGAGGTACGGCTTTTTCCGATTGAAGAAGGCTCTGCTTGCAGCCGCTGCTAATTTCATGGTTACGATGGGCGGCGGGTTCGAGTACTGTACAAGTGGTCCGAGCATTTATTTCACCATAATACCAAATAAATTTTACACCTTGAAATAAAAAAGTCAATTTTTTCACCTAATAAAGTGCAAACTAAATTATACGATAACTAGTACGAATCTCGTGCCATGCACGAGTAAGAGATATTCATTAGTACTTATAAATTAAAAATAATTATTAGATGATATTTATAAATTAAAAATATTGAATCAATATGTAATACATTTACCTATATTAATTTATTGAAAATGTTATATGAAGTTATATCGTGCAAAATTACATAAAACATGTCAATTTAATTAGTATACAACTTGTATGGTGCACGTAACTGATAATAAATTACATTATATTTATTTCAAAATAAGTGTCATTTTAAAATATTTATTCAGAAATTCGATTGGACTACAATGTGATTCCATAAAATAATTCTTTTTGTAAAATTTTATCATATATTTAAAAATCTATGTGAATAATAAGTACAATTATAAAACTTATAGTGTTCATTAATTAAAATGAATTTAATTTTGTATAAACTATCAAAATAAAAAAATTTAAGTTGTTGAGTAATTTATTATAGTATAATAAATTGACTACTTCATGTATGCCTAAGTTAATATTGACACTTAAGTTATGAATAATTATTTATTTGACTTTTAAATTTGAAACCCAAATTTGAACTATACGATAAATTTCCTTATATATATATATATATATATATTTCCTTATATATAAATTCCCTTATATACATATTATCTCAAAATTTTTTAGAGTTGTTGTTGCTTAATTTTTAAATTTTATTAACCAATGTGTGTTCAAAGATGTTTATGATTTTCAAGAGGAATACATACTATTTTCCCAAACTATCATTAATATTTTATGGCAAGTTATTATAGAAATATACTAAAATTTGAAAATAAAATTCGACTTTCATACCCATAAAATTTAATACCTCATAATAACAAAAATATCATTTTTTAATATCTTTTTGTTCGAAAAGATACATTTATCCTTTAAAAGAGTTGGATTGCGAAGAGCTTTCATGATGTTTTGCTTGATGAGTCCTCATGATTTCTTATCAATATAGAATATCTATTTGTTCTTTATGTTTTGCTTGATTTTTTGATGAGTGGGGATACAATAACAACTCAGAGTGTGTATGTTATTTTTATATGCAAATTGAGTGTTAATTTAATAGGTGAAAAAAAATATCTCGATATTAGATGATTGGAGCTTTAGAATGATATTATCTAAATATTTGAAATGATATTCGCGTACATTATTAAAATTTGGAATGATTTGATATTATCTATCAAATTAAACAAAAATTATAATTGGTAATATCCCTTTATTTTAGTATAAAAAAATAAATCGGCTCACTTATGTTTTTTTTTCCTTGGGTTGCGATATTAATACATAAGCTTAGCTATTTCAAAATCTTTTTAGATTAATAGTTTAGTTATCCACAGATTTATCAAATAAGTGTTTGGTGAAGATTTATCAAAAAAATAGTAGATTAGTAGTTAGTTATCCACATATTCCATCGTGAGTTATCCACAGATTATTGTTCCAATATTATCTCTACACCATGAATTTTGAATTCAAACTGTGATTTTCTGTTAAAAAAAAAAAACTACACCATTATGGTTTTCATGCTTTCTATAAATAGAATGTCAAAAGTATTATTTATTTGGTCAAAAGTTTCCAAAAAGGATTTAACCAACAACCTTTTTATATATAGATAGATTATAACGTACAAATTTGTTCTACGATTACTTATGCGACAAATATGCGAACATGATAAAGTGCGGAACAATTATGCGATAAACTATAACACACACAGAAGATAATTGATAAAGTAGTTATGCCGAACATAATTGATAAAGTGCGAAACAATTATGCGATACTATGTAATACACAGAAGAATGTAATTGATAAAATGCGAAATAGTTATGCGATAAACTATGCAACAAACATGTGGACATGATTAATAAAATGCGAAACAATTATGCGATAAACTATGCGACAGTCAGGCGACCATGATTGATGCGAAAAATTATGCGACAGTCGATAAAATGCGAAACAATTTTACAATAACTATACGACAAACAAGAGAACATAATTGATAAAGTGTGAGAGATATGCGTAGATAATTGATGCAAAAAACTGTACGACATACAGACGAAGATAATTGATAAAATGTGAAAATATTATGCGAAAAGCTAGGCAACAGACAATCGAAGATAATTGATAAAATACGAAATATTTATGCGAAAACATATGCGGCAGACAGGCAAAGATAATTGATAAAGTGCGAAATGGTTGAACTTATGAGGGGAACATGCATGTTGAGGGATATTCAAGCAATGGAGTTCTTTCATTTTATATTAGTTAAAGTCGTGTTTTCATTTTTATCTTTCTATTTCAGCTTTCTTAAGTGGGACACGTGTTCTTTTCTTATTGGTCATTATGGCTTGTACGGCTTTATCACGTGAATGTGACCTTTATCTTCATTTTGTAACTTTGTAAGAAAAATAGCTTAGATCTAATGGCGATTTGAACATTTTGAATTGTTTCTCTTTGGTTTTACAAAATTTGCTACGGTTAAGCTCAAATCTACATGGTATCTAGAGCAGGTTAAAGAAAACAAGAGAAAATGACGCAACGCAACAATGAGCAGAGTCGCGAAATTGTTGGAAGAGGCATTTACACTCGAGACGTAGATCCACTTTCCCTTCATGGATCTGATCATCCTGGGTTGATATTGGTCACTATTCAGCTCACTGGATCAAATTACTCACACTGGAATCGTGCGATGAAACTAGCTCTCTGTGCGAAATCGAAGCTTGGATTTATTGAAGGCTCAGTAGTAATTCCAGAGATTGGATCGGAGGAATATGTTCAATACCAGAAGGTAGAGTCTATGGTAATCTCTTGGCTGCTTAACTCTATTTCTAAGGACATTGTAGAGGCCTTTATGTATGTTAAGAATGCTAAACAGCTTTGGGACGAGCTAGCTGAAAGATATGGTGAAAGTAATGGACCTCTAAGGTACCAGTTACAAAAGGAAATTGCTAATTTTACTCAGGGTAATCTCACAGTAACTGCCTATTACACCACACTGAAATGTCTGTGGGATGAATACTCTTCTCTGATTTCTATACCTGATTGTGTATGTGGTTCTGGGAAGAAGTTTATTGAAAATGATATGGAAATCAAGCTGATGCAATTCCTTATGGGATTAAATGAGGCGTTTGGGCCAGTGAAAAACCAGATTCTGCTTTTTGATCCACTGCCTACCATTAACAAGGCTTATTCAATGATGCTGAAAGTGGAAAAACAGAAAAGTATGTACATGGGAGTTCAAAATCAAATGGAAACCTCGGCTATGTTTGCTAAAGGCAATTTTGGAAGAGGTAATGGTGGCAGAACGCAAACCTTTGGCAGAGGTGGTGGTGGAAGAGGATTTGCTACACAAAATGTCAATGCTGGTAGAGGAAGAGGTGGTCAAAGGCTGTCCAAAGAGGAAAGGGCAAAGTTGTTTTGCACACACTGTGGGTTTAATGGCCATGAAGTTCAGGGTTGCTTCAAACTCAATGGATATCCAGATTGGTATAAAGAACTAAGAGAACAAAGGCAGGGTCAAAATGTCAACATGGCAGATAATGATGATTCATCAAAAGGGGACTCAGAGGGTAAATCTCAACATGGTGATTCTTTGCCTGACATAAGTGTACTAATTCAGAGAGAAATTGCAAAGTACATGGCAGGACAGCAAGAGGCAGAAACCAACACATACTCACATTTTGTGGAACATTCAAATGACAAGGAGGATTATGCCTTTTCTTTAGCTGGCAGACTCAACAAATGCAGTTGGATTGTGGACACTGGTGCAAGCAAGCACATCTGTTGTGAAGCTGGAATGTTTACAAAGAGGTCACTTACCCAAACTCCTGTTATTGTAAATCTTCCTGATGGTACAAAAGTGAAGGTGACTCAAGTTGGTGAAGTGCAGTTCAATGATCAAATTACACTTAAAGGGGTGCTCTTAATACCTGAATTTAAATACAATCTTTTATCAGTGGGGCAGCTTGTGGAAAATGATGATTTACAGTTTGTATTTACTGAAAGGGATTGCAAACTGAGAGATATAAAAACAGATTCAATCATAGCCCTGGGAAAGGCAATGGCAGGCTTGTATGTGATAGAAGAAGAAGGAGTATTTGTTAATGCAGTTGATAAGGACAATGCACTTGATGTGGGTTTGAATTTGTGGCACAAGAGGCTTGGACACAGCTCCATTCATTGTCTGAAACACTTGTATTTCTTAAAGGGAGAACATATTAACCAGGAGGTGAATCCATGTGATGTGTGTCACAGATCAAAACAAACCAGATTATCTTTTCCTCTCAGTCAGATACAAAGCACACACAAGTTTGAGTTAATTCATGTGGATGTATGGGGGCCACACCATGAGAAGTCAGCATTGAATGTTTCTTATATGTTGACAATTGTTGATGATATCACAAGGGCCACCTGGATCTATTTGATGAAGTATAAAACAGAAACTTACACACACATGAAATCCTTTTCAGAATGGTAGAGGTGCAGTTTAGGGTGAAGGTGAAGCAGATGAGAAGTGACAATGGCAGTGAGTTTGTCAACAGGGAGATGAATACTTTGTTGAAAGAAAATGGGATACTACATCAAAGGACATGCCCCTACACTCCACAACAAAATGGAGTAGTAGAAAGGAAACATAGATCCATCCTAGAGGTGGCAAGATCAATTTCTTTTCAGTCACAATTACCAAAGCAACTTTGGCCATACAGTTTGCTTGCTGCTGTGCAAATAATCAACACTTTGCCTAGTGAAAAGTTGGGATGGAAAAGTCCTTATGAGCTACTCCATGATAAACCACCAGCTTATGCCATGTTCAAGACTTTTGGATGTCTGTGCTATGCAAGTAAACTGGGACCACATAAAAGGAAATTTGATGAGAGAGTTGTGAGCTGTTCTTTCTTAGGTTACATTTCCGGGACCAAAGGATATAGAGTGTATAACCTTGATACTAAAGAGGTCTTCATCAGTAGAGATGTCATATTTTATGAGGATAAATTTCCCTTTCATGAATTCACTTCTCCTACCACAGATCACACCATTCCTTTGCCAGTCATAAATGATGTAGATGACACAAAAAGATTGACTCAAGAGTCTACTCAAGAAGTACCAGATTTGACTGTAAGTGAAGGAGCTCTTAGAAGAGGGAGCAGACTTAAGAAGCCCCCTTCTTGGTTGTCTGATTATGTGGTAGAAATACCAGGAACTGAAGAGATAAGCCTTTTCTTTTCTACAGTTAACAAAACAGTCACAGAACCATTATTTTATGAGCAAGCTGTTGGAGATAAAAGGTGGTTAGATGCTATGCACAAGGAGCTAGAGGCTTTGGAACTAAAAAACACTTGGACAATCACAAAGTTACCACCTGGAAAGAAGGCTATTGGATCAAAATGGGTGTATAAAATAAAGAGAAATCCAGATGGTTCAATTGACAAGTTTAAGGCCAGATTGGTGGCAAAGGGGTTCCTACAAAGAGAAGGGGTAGATTTTTTTGATAGTTTCTCACCAGTGGCAAAACTTGTCTCAGTAAGGTTGCTTATTGCTTTGTCTACTCAACATAACTGGGAGTTACACCACATTGATATAAACAATGCTTTTTTTCATGGGTTTCTGGATGAAGAGGTTTATATGCTTCCTCCAAAAGGTTATATGAAGGCCAAGGAATGTGAAGTTTGCTTGCTGAAAAGGAGCTTATATGGGTTGAAACAAGCCAGTAGGCAATGGAATATTGAGTTCTCTGATAAACTCTTATCTTATGGCTTCACCCAATCACCTCATGATCACTGCTTATTTTTCAAGGGTTCAGGTGACAAATTACTTGCTCTTGTCATTTATGTGGATGATGTATTGATTACTGGTGCTTGTTTGGCTGACATACAACATCTTAAGAGTTATCTTGATGGTCTTTTCACTATTAAAGATTTGGGAGAGACTAAATATTTCTTGGGATTGGAAATTCTTAGGACAGCTGCTGGCACATTCCTCAGTCAAAAGAAATACATACTTGATATTGTGGCTGATTTGGGGCTAGACAACTCTAAGGCAGTGATGACACCATTGCCGCAGGGTTTAAATCTCTCATCTTTCGATTCTTCTCCTTATAGCCACCCTGAAGGGTATAGGAGACTTGTGGGACGACTGCTTTACTTGAATCTTTCTAGAGCTGATCTCTCTTATGCAATACAACAGCTCAGCCAGTTTGTACAGGCTCCCTCCCAAGCTCATTGGAATGCAGCTCTTCACTTGGTCAGGTACCTGAAAGGCACACCACATTTGGGACTTTACTATACTGCTACACCTTCACAGCAATTGGAGGCTTTTTCTGCCTATGACTGGGGTAGCTATGCAATCACTCGGAAGTCCCTCACGGGTTATTGCATCTTCCTGGGCTAGGCGTTAATCTCTTGGAAAACTAAGAAGCAAAAGACGGTTTCTCGTTCATCGGCTGAGGCAGAATATAGGTCCATGGCTAGCACTGTGTGTGAACTGCAATGGCTTTCCTTTTTGGCCAAAGATCTGTCCCTTCCTATCATTACTCGTATTTCTCTTTGGTGTGATAATCGTGCTGCCTTGCACATTACGGCCAACCTTGTTTTCCACGAGCGTACCAAACATTTGGACATTGATTGTCATGTGGTTCGTAATAAATACAAGGAAGGGTTCATCTCCCCTAAGCACATTTCTTCCTCTCTTCAGCCTGCTGATCTCTTCACTAAATCTTTGTGAGGTGTTGATTTTCAAAGGTTCATTTTCAAGTTGGGAATGCGTGTGATTGGCCCCATTCCCACTTGAGGGGGGGGGGGGGGGGNAGGGGAACATGCATGCTGAGGGATATTCAAGCAATGGAGTTCTTTCATTTTATATTAGTTAAAGTCGTGTTTTCATTTTTATCTTTCTATTTCAGCTTTCTTAAGTGGGACACGTGTTCTTTTCTTATGGTCATTATGGCTTGTACGGCTTTATCACGTGAATGTGACCTTCATCTTCATTTTGTAACTTTGTAAGAAAAACAACTTAGATCTAATGGCGATTTGAACATTTTGAATTGTTTCTCTTTGGTTTTACAAAATTTGCTACGGTTAAGCTCAAATCTACAGAAATAGTTATGCAACAAACATGCGAAGATAATTGATGCAAAAAGTTATGCGACAAACAGTCGAAGATAATTGATAAAATGCGAAACAGTTATGCGATAACCTATGCGACAAACAGGTGATGATAATTGATATATTCGATAATATTATGCGATAAACTATACGATATAGACGAAAATAATTGATAAACTACAAAAATATTATGCGATAAACTATGCGACAGAAAGACGAAGATAATTTATGAAGTGCAAAATATTTATATGGTATGATATACGACAGACAAACGAAATTCATTGATTAAAGTGCGAAACAAATTATGTGATAAAGCATGCAACAAAAAAGCGAAGTTAAATAAGCAAGTGTGAATTACTTATGCAATAAAGTACGGTCAGACAAGCGAAGATCATTAAGCGAGTGCGAAACAACTTATGCAACAAACAAGCGAAGTTAATTGAGAAAGTACGAATTACTTATGCGATAAACTATGCGAAAGACAGACGAAATTCATATCGCACGTGCGAAACAAATTATGCAATAACGCATGCAACAGGCCAAAGAGTTAATTGAGCAAGTGTGAATTACTTATGCAATAAATTGAGCGACAGACATGCAAAGATACTCGAGCAAGTAAGATATCATTATGCGATAAATTACGCGACTGCCAGACGAAGATAATCAAGCTAGTGCGAATTACTTATGTTATACACAAGGTGACAGACAAAAGAAGATAATTCAACAAGTGCAATCTAGTTATACAATAAACTACGCGACAAACATACAAAGATAATTGATAAAGTATGAAATATTTATGCGACAACTATGCAAAAAAGAGGTTAAAAAAATTGAAAAATTGTAAAATATTTATGCAGTAAACTACGCAATAGACAAGTTAAGATAATCGATAAATAACAAAATATTTATGAGATAAACTATGTGACAAATTTGATACATTAATTGAATATGACAACATGATTGCTTTGTAGGAAATGACTGTCGATCAATTTTTCCGCTTTAACGGATGTTCCTGTTATCAACATTGTTACACTTTGATTATAGCGCCCCGTTCGATTTATAGAATTTCTCAGATTATTCTATTTATCGAATATTATTTATAAGGTTATATTTATTTTATTAGTCGCGATATCGACGTAAATAAAAGGTTGGAATACTCGATCGTTTTATTGAAAAACGTTCGTTGTTCGGCGATTTCGTTTTAATCGCGCGAACCGAATATAATCCGTTTGAATAATAGATTTTTCGGATATTTCGGCATTATTAATATTTTATTTTTCCGAGCGTTATATATGTTCGGATTTTATGAGATTGAGCCCGATAAACCGGTAGTCGAATCCAACCGATTCGTAAACCCATTATTTACGAATTATTTGAGATTATTATTATGATTATTTATTTTTATTATTATTATTTATTGTTATTATTACTACCAATATTATTACTATTTATTAAATCCCTAATTGTCATTAAATGTGTAAATAGGTATTATTAAATAATCAATGTGTATTATATATATGTAAATATTATTTGGTTTATTTTAATCGCGAGATCAAACCGCCGTAAATGCCATTACGTTGAGCCTGAGAGCCGGCCCGAGTCTTTAAACCCGTGCGCCTAGTCGAACACGCCTCCTTGAACCGGCTGACCCGACCCGGTTTTTCCTCTCGTGCGTGTGTGCGTGTGTTTCTCTTGAGGAGCAAGAATCCAAAACCTAGTCTAATTATCCTGCTCTCTCTCTCTCTCTCGATGTTATCAGATCCCGCAGCCTTTCTCTATTTCTTTTCTCTCGTCAAATCACGCCGCTCTCTCTTGCAAATAATCTCTCGATCTCAATCTCGCCTCTTTCTCTCACGTTAGCAGCAGAAGGAGAAATCTCGTTCTCTCAACCCTCTCATCATCGTAAAAAAAAAAAGAAAAAAGAAGAGAAGAAGCCTGAACGCCGACCACCCGCCTCCGTTCACTGCCCTTCTCATCTCACGGCGTCAAGCAGTTCTGGCAACCCTTTCCTCCGCAAGCAGCCGTCTTCAGCGCCGACGACCCTTCCCCGAGAGCAGGCTGCAACCGGCGACCGTCGCCCCTTTCTCTCGCAAATCCCGTCGGCCCTCACCTCCTCCCAACCTGACCGCGAAGCGCCATCGCGCAGGCCGCCTCCCCGACCTCCGGCGAGCCCTCCTCCGCGAACGACGACCCCAGCGTCTCCGGTGGACCCTCCTCCCTCCGCGAGCAGATAACCGCCGTCCTCAGCCTCTGCTGCCCCTCCCGGCGAACCTCCATAGCCGCTGGCGACCGTCAAGAGCAGCGGCGGGCTGATTGTTTGACCAGCTGCCGTTTGAGAGTGCTCGGGGCTGAGATCCTTTTTCCGGTGAATTGAGCACCATTGGAGAGTGGGCTTTTCATAGACCGAGGGGCTTCTGTTCCGAGCGACAACCGGGAGCTTGAGCAGCGACACTCGAGTCTCTTTCGAGAATGTGCGGATGTCCGGGCTGCAACGAGCCGAGTACTTCCCGAGACCGCTAGTGACCATGTTCGAGCCTCAACCCATCTTTCCTCCTTTCGTGTAGAATTGAGGAGTGTTGTAAAGCTCGTTTCCCCCTTATGTGTTTCGTACGTTTAGATCCTTGTCGTGTGTTCGGATCATATGATTTGAGAATGATTATCAAGTGTTTAATTAGTGTGTATATTTGTGTAGAATTGATGTGATATATATGATCTTTTAATGCCTTGTTGATATGTATATGCATTTTATTTGTTTTATGTAATGAGCTCTTCAATTTTATGAAGTCGAGAGAGATCATATTAAAATCATGTTTAGTTGATGTGAGATTGGAACACAATGAGTTCTTGGCCTTATGGTGAAGGCCTCGGACAATTTCGAGTCTTGTCGAGTCATTCATGAATTTATGAACTCGTATAATCGCTGATTTGTTATTAAATTCGTAATAAATTGCATATTGATCCGTTTGATGTGAAACTTTGTGTGTAGGTTCCTGTGATGAATATGTATGTCAGTGTAAAAATTTCAGATTAAAATACTACATGTAGCTATTTTAATTAATTAATGTGATTTATGGGCAGAACCGTGTTAATTGCATAATAAATTGAGTAGTGCTCCAAATTTGTTGATATTTGTGTATGTTGTGTCTCTGGCATATTTACATGTTGTGTAAAATTTTCAGAATTTTTGGACTCAGTTTGCTAAGGTAAATAATTTATTATGTTATTCTACCGAAAATTGTTTTAATTATGATAATCATCAGATATGTTACTGAAAAATTTTGATTTTTGGTTGAAGTGCTTATTTTGTGATGTGTGTCATGCTGTAAAAATATCAGAATTTTTGGAGTTCATATTTGTTCAGTTTTGAATTTGTGCTCGTTTTTGCTGAAAACTTGTTCGAATTTTATAAAATCATGTGTTTTGAGTTAGGGGCTGAAATTTGGTGGATTTGCTGAGTCCACTGAGTTGGATTTTATGTTAAAATTTCAGAGTCTAACTCATTCGGTAACATGACCAACCTGATTATGTGATTTATCGTTTAGTATTTAAAAAATGTAGGTTTTTGTGTTAAAAAATGTAAACCGACTCGCATGTTGTTCCTTGTTTGTTTGACTTGGTCAACCTTTAGTTGGTTTTATGTGAACTCCCATATGGATTTGGTCGAGTCTAAGTGTTCCAACGGACTTCACGAACAACTTAGTCAAATCAAGTTCGACTAAGTATGATTTGTGTTTTCCGTTTAAGTCAAGATAGATGTTGATTATAGAATCTTGACTTAATGTAGGTATTTGAGAAGTCAAGCCTCGACCTACTGTCCATTGCTTGTTGAGTTGTTTCCAATCCGAAATCCAGGTGGGTTAGTTATTCTAAAATATCTATGCATATGTGTTTAAATGTGTTTGAAATTTGGTATGATCTATGTATGCATGTGAGCATGTAGCCTATCGATGTGAGCTTGATGGCCATCGGTACGGTTGTCCCCATCGATGTAATACGGTTGCCCTTGCGAGACAAGTCTCTTTAAGACCTAATGAAAGGCCGTGTCCTTAGGGTAATGAATCCCCTTTCTGCGACTAATGAAAGATGTGTACACAGGAGTGAGTCATTGATGTGGCAAGAGTCATTGATGTGACTAGAGATGAGACATGATGTTATTATTGTTTATGTTCATGCTGCGACCATACCATTATTATGTTGTTTATATGCATAGTGTGAGTACAATATTTTCCAACTGTACTCACTCCCACCTGGTCTTCACGGATGCAGGTTAAACAGTTGGCGAATGACGAGGCAAGGCGAGTGGGTGGTCTTGTTTATTTACTTATGATTATTATATGCTTCCGCACTTATGAATTTATGTTGGATTATTTGAACATGTTGACTTGATGATTTTGGAAACATATTTGATTGGTTTATGTTCAAAGACCTTTCAATTTGATATTCATGGGTATGCGATTAGGAATGTCCTGATGTTTATTGTTTATGTTAATGAAATTATGGTTAATGAAAACCTTTGAAAAATCGGGTAATGAATTCCCGTAGTTCAGACATGACTTGAACTAAGTTTTGAAATGAATGAGTAACGCCGAAAATGTTTATGATTCGAAAAATGAATTTCGAAAATTTTACTGTGATTTTTGGAAAAATCATGAATTTTCTTTAAAATAAAAGTGGGGGCGTTACATTGATCGTGTTATTACTGTATTGCGGCTATATTTTCTGACCATCATATATTGATATCCTTTCACCGTCGGTGGAAGACGATAGCAGTAACACGAGTGAAGATGATTAGACATTTGTTTGTTTTTTAGTTTTGCATTTTTTTGTTTTCCATCAATGTTTCTTCAATATGGTTAAGTAGTAGTGTTTTGTGTGTGGGACCAGATCCTTGTGATGGACCATGCAGAATTATTAGACTAGTTTTATCGGTGGTCCAAGGAATTGGGTCACCAAGAAACAGACAAAAAATAAAAATGAAAATGAAATAGTCATGGAATATGCGCGGCCCAGTTCACAATATGACCTTTGGTCGCGACTAATAAGCCAAGAGTTTGAAGATGGGACACTTGTCCCATTTCTATTGGACAAACGTATTTTTCAGATAAAATAAAAGATAATTATATTTTTCTGGTGTTAATTTATATTAGAAAATAAAATAATAAATATAAAATATTATGGGGTGATTCTTTACCAATTCAATAAAAAAAAATCAATCAAAACTCAAATTTAATTCAACTTTAATCCAACTCCGCTCTCCTCAATATCATCAATATAATTAAATAATATCAACCAATCATTCTTACACATCACATTAACTTTAATTCACTATTCATCCACTCGCATAATTTTAACTAATCATAACTTCCAGTCATTTTTCTTCTACTTTACATCAAATCAACTTAAATTATTTTATTTAAATATTATTTTAATATATCCACTAACAATTAACCATACCACCTTTTTCAAAATTAACTATAGTTAAAAAAACAAACCAAATAAAACTAGCTGAATCCATAAACAATCACCCCCTATATTTTTTTTATTCTTTATAAATATAAGAATTCACCTATCCCAATAACAAAAAAACTACATTATTAGGCAAAAAGTAAAAAAAAAAAATAGAGAGAGAGAGAGAGAGAAATTGTAATTGTGTTGAAAAAACATATTATTAATTTTTTTTATCTCTCCCATTTTTCCTAATTTTCAACAAATACCAGATGAATTGAACTAAAACAATAACAAAAATCAATTGTAGATAATACTTAATAAATAAATAAATAAAATAAAATAAATATTTTGGGTTGGGTTTGGTTGGGGATAAAGATATGTTGGGTTGTAAGGTTAAGAATTATTAACATGGCTCAAGATCGGCTCGAATTTTGAAGAATTATTTTCTAAATATTAACATGCTCTTTTTAATCTAAAAGAAAATTTTGTCCTTGATGTTCTAATATTGATAACTAAACTATACAGGGGATTTTTTTTTACAGTATAAATTCGAGCGGCTCATCGACTTTATGAGCTTATTGAAACGATGCGTGAGTCTCTACTCGTTTTGCGCTATGTTTTTGCAACGATCTTTAAACAATAAAATATATATTTTTTTGTCATAGAAACAATTCTCCACGACAGTGAGGATAGAATTTTCCATTATGTAATTTAATAGTGGTTATCAATATTTATCAAATATTAAAAAAAATATTTTTTTATTGCGATTTTTATAGGATGACCGCATATCTAGGTTAATTCATGACGTTAACATTCCAAATATGGGTGACAAGTTTGAGTAGGGTAGAGTATATGACATTGTCAAGTACCAATTAGAAAGTAACATTGGTAAATATAGATTTATCATTGCAAAGTTTAAACTCATTATTCATGGGAATACCGAAGTGTTGGATTATCCTATCGATTTCCCAATGTTTAATTTTGACTTCCGTAATTTTTGTTATTTCCTAAGTTGTTGACAATGTAGTTTTTCAACAAGCAAATGATCGTACTTCCAATTTTATTTTCAAACATGTAGACATACATGTGGTTGTGTCTATTGTTTATGTGTTATGTTGCAAACATATATCCAATCATTTAATATTACTATTATCACTGAATATTGTTTTCTTGTACATCACACGGAGTATGCACTAGTATATATAATTCTGAAATAAAAAAATGAATATTCTTCAAATCAATCGCNAAAAAAAAAAAAAAAAAAAACCTTACAACAATATTTTAACTATTTGCGCATTTTGTGAAATGTACTAGTAAAATCCATAAATTTCGAAAAGTACACAAGCTAGTAGTATACTTAGACATGATCACGACCCGTGGTCAACAGGACTTGAATCGAGCCCGTGGTTTGACTAGATCGGTTCCAAGCCATATATTTTTAATTTTTTGAACCACAGGCCGGTTGTGAACCAGAATTGAAACCGAAACCGGCTGTTCTGCCTTTTCTTTTTTTTTTTTTAATTTTTTTAATGAACTGGGCTAACTCAAGTCAGTTCATGAAATGGTCCAGTAGCTCCGGTTCACCAAACCGGCCACTGGACCACCTCTAATTGTATATAGAGATGTTAAACGGGCTAGCCCTAGCGGACTTTGAGCTAAACGGTTCGAGTCTAAAAAGTCCGAATTTAAACAGGCTACCAATAAAAGGACCTAACCCTAAACCTAGCGGACTTTGGGCTAATCGGGCTATAATAATAATAATAAATTACAACACCTAGTTAACGGTTTTTTTGAACGGCTATTTAGTATTTACCACTATATATATACAACTACACTTTATATATGAACACATTACAAACTCTTAAATAACATATTGTTTCTTAATAGAAAAAAAAAATGTTCAAATTATTACTTATAACTACCATTTGTCTAGTTATTTGGTACGTATCGGAAATTTTGACCAATATAGCATAGTGCTGAATTTATATTCTATCAATATATTCTATGTGTTAGGTCTTTGTCTCATTTATTTTTTTATTAGCCATTCTGATTGGTTTAAATATTTTGCTGTGAAATAAAATTAAATTTGTTAATAATTATCTATCAAAATAATAATAATATATTATAACTCATAATTACATGTGAAGTAAAATAGCAAAATTGTAATATACAAGGAATCATGAGACATATTCCTTACCTTTCTAAAAACATATACACCACTCAACCCAAGTTAAACGGACTAGCCCTAGCGGGCTTCGGGCTAAACGGTCCAGGCTAAAAAAGCTCGGATTTAAACGGACTGCTAATAAAAAACCCTAACCCTGTTTTTTTTCGGGCTAAATGGGCCGGCCAATCGGGCCACTGACCATTTAACACTAATTGAATACTTCACCATTTGACAAATACCAGCAGCCATTTTTGGGTCTCACCATTTCTCTCCTCAAAAAACCCTGTTCAAAACCCCAAACCCCCACTCTCTGCAATCCTAAAACCCTAATAGCTTCCGGAGAAAAAGTGATCATGTGTGCATTAGCTCGATCTAGCTCGCGTCTGCTCTCAATTGTCTCGAGGAATAATCGTAGATTTTCCTCGGCCGTCAGCTCAGAACCACCGAAAGAAGCAATCATATCCTCCTCTATTCTCGGTGATCAGCCTCCGCCACCGCCAACGGGTCCGCCGCCTCCGCCGCCGGCTTCAGAGGTAGATAAAAGTTCATGGAACTTTCTCAAGTACGGTCTCATTGCTGCCATCACAGGTGGTGCTGCTACTGCAGGCTACGCTACCTACGGTACTTAGTACTTACCTTTGTCGTTATTTTGGTTTCCCCTTACAAAATTGATAACGATAGTTCTGATTTTTCCAGTGGAGTGGGTAAATATTTATCTTGGACGTTGGAAATTCAAGTGTATACGTACTGTAACTATGTACGTATCAGAATTTCACATTGGTGGCAACGTGGATGACCATATGTGTGATTCTTTGTTGTTTTATATTTTGAAGGCGGATTTACAAATAGGTTGTAAATTCATTGGCCGATTTTAGCTGTTATTGGACTTATAAATGATTTCAGTTTCCATGGTTACCTATTTGATAATTGATTTTTGAATGATTTTAAAGATTATGCACCTATGTGGTTTAAATGATTTGAGTTTCTGTTCTTCCTCTTGGTTTAAATGATTTGAGTTTCTGTTCTTCCTCTTGAGTTTGAAGCTGGCACTCTTTTCCTGCTTTTCTGCTTCATATACTTGTGCTTGTTACTCTTATGAGTCATCTCTTATTTATTCCTTTTTTTTTTGGCTATGTGTTTATGAAATCTTAGAATGGTTTATGTTGTATATGAGTTACTTTTTCTGTATTCCTTAGAGTTTTTTTGGTCTTTGAGGCTGGGTTTGTCTACGTGAAATTGTACATGACTAATGACTGAAATTTCAAAAGTTACTCTTGATTTTCTTGGTGCTGTAAATAGTGACTTGTATATGAACTGCCTAGATACAGATTCTCTTTGTCAACTTGATGCAGATCAGCTCTTTATTTTTTAGGGTTTAGTTGGGGGAATTGAGGTTCTCCTGTTATGGCCTTTCACCTTAGCAGATGCATAACTGTAGATATGCGATAGGTGTTTTGAGATTCTGTCATTGATTGTTTAAGTTTCTATTGGTATTCATATATTGCGGTTCTTTCCTATATCTATTTTTCCTAGAATATATACAAACAGGAGTGTAGTTGTATGAGAACTGATTGTGGATGTTGCTTGATTGGATATTCTTAGTTTCGGAATTTCAGCAACAATATGAAAATATCCTCTTGCTTTTAAATAGCAGTTTTATGGACAATACATTAATAATATTCTAGTTACTCATATATGTTTGGTGAAAGTTTAGGTTGCATAAAAGTTGATGTTTGTTTATTGCAGCATACTCATTGGATGAAGTTAATGAGAAAACTAAGGCTCTTCGCGCATCTGCAAATTTCAATGTTGGCGATGATAGATCATCTTTTGATGTGCGTCAGACAACACCCTTCTTCTTTGCTTTTGTGTATATGTTCGTTCTCAAATTTCTTACGTCTTTGATAAAGGTTTAGTGTTGAGTTGTAGTAGTGTTTATATATAAATTAGTCCTCTCATCTTTTAACATTATCCACCTGGGGCTGCAGTGGGTTTCAAGAACTGTAGTGGTAGTGTAATAATGACTGGAAACAAGGAGAGGTGCAAATCTTATTTGTAATAGAAGTAGTTGGACATAATTTGAGTACATTCTGGTTGCTGTTATTCCTCACTCAACAACTTGTTCATTGACCTTAGAATATATTATAGTTCTTGTCCTGAAACTCTGATGCAGTTTTGACATGACATGCTCTTGTAATAATGTTAGTTCACGTGGCCAATACTTCACATGATATGAATCGCCCAAATTTAACTTCAAATCATTTACTTACAGAATAACACATTCCATCCTCTTGTATCACAAATTTGTTGTATATGTGATGGATTCATTTGATTACTATATAAAGCTCGTACTTACTCAAACACCCCTTCAATCCTGTCCTCAAGTTTGCGGAAGTAAATCATAGTATCATACACTGACACACTGCAAAGTTGTCTATACTATGTTCAGTTCCATACCATAGTACCTCCATGATAAAAAAAAGTTGGTTGCTGAAACCCCTGGGATGTATCGGGTCCTCACAGAATGGCTCTTGAACTCATTATATTCTACAATTTGAAGAGTTTAGAAATGTGGTAAGATGGTCTGGTAGAGCAAAAATTGGGTGCAAGAGCTGGCATAAAGTGTCAGCATGTAAAACCAGGTTCGTTGACATATGGATTTTGGTAGGATATCAGGAAGAACATAGAAGGCCTATGATACCATGTGCTACAATATGACATTAATCAAGTTTAGGTAACGTGCTATTCCAAAGAAATGACTGTGTGGGTAATGTGTATTGTACGGAAAACGGATATGGCTATGGAATTGTCCTTCAATTTCCAATAGTATATGGGTACTATGCTTGAGCTAACTGTTTGGAATCTCTTATTGTCTGTGCAGAAATTTAGTGCTTATCTACGTGCAGCTGCAATGACAGGTGAAAATTTTCTCTTTGTGTTATTTCTCTCAACAGCGTATTTAGCTAGATTAACATTTTTTTTTCTCTAATCATATATGGTTACTTTTCAGATTGCCCATGACACTAAATTAATCTTATATTTCATTGGTTGTTTCCTTCGTGTTATTATGTTTCAGTGCCTGCTAAATTGGTTGAAGCATACCTTGATTTAAGGAGGTTAGCGGAAGAGCAAGTTAAGGTGAGCACTTCAACTGTTAGAATTATTGTCTGAGAAGTTCAATGCTGTGAAATACAGTATGCATCACTTTTAGTGTTTGTTCATTATGGCATTCTTTCAAACTTCTTACTCCATTTCAGGGTTTTACTGAACCCACATCAGAGAAGCTCCTTCCAGATTTGCACCCTATGGAGCAGCATGTTTTCACCCTTGTTCTTGATCTAAATGAAACATTGATATATTCTGATTGGAAGGTATAAATTATCAGGCCCAATTCTGATTATGTTCCTAGTTCTCATTCATAATAAGTTAATTCTTTCCTCGGTTGATGATTAGAGTGATTGATGTCTTTCTATTATTAGAATGGTATCGTACGCCCCTGTGTGTGTTTTCTTGTTTCTTGTCTTTTTGTTTTTTTTTCCTGTCAATTTTCTTTTCTTGCCATGATATTGTGCAAGTCAGATAGGCCAAGTCTAACTTACCATTTTCTTTCCCATTCATCAATTTAAAGCGCGACAGAGGGTGGAGAACGTTCAAAAGACCCGGTGTAGATGCTTTCCTCGAGCATTTAGCTCAATTTTATGAGATTGTAGTATACTCTGACCAACTAAGTATGGTGAGTCTGCTCCTGATAAAAACGAGGGCTGTTGCCGTCAAATCTCATAGTTCAATCAGTTTTTATATCTTTAATTTAATTAATGCCTATCTATGAACTTACAGTATGTTGATCCTGTTGTCGAAAGATTGGATCCAAAGCATTGTATCCGCTATAGGCTTTCTAGGGGGGCTACAAGATATATAGATGGCAAGCACTACAGGGTACATTCATTCACTTGCTTTTAAGAATGCATCAGCTATATTACTTTTCGTACTTTTTATACAGCAGTACTGTCCATGTTAAATTCCAAATTTCCAGATTTTGCTTTATCAATTATCATGCTATCTGCTGTTGCTTTCTTTTTCCCATTTTTTAACAGTTAAGTTCATGGGCAAATGATGACTTACCTTGACACTTGAATGTTACGCATAAAGCTCCTAACATTAAGCATATGCTCCTATATTGCTTTCAGTGTGATAGCTGCATTGATCTAGTTCCAGTGCTAAAAAGAAATAATTGTACATCATTGTCTACTGATCGGTGACTTATAACTCTGATACTTTATAGATATTAAATGGTTAACTTTACCTGACATTCTCAACTTAGATGTTTTTCCATTTTTTGAGAGGATACATAAACACACACACACACACACACACACATATATATATATATAGTTAGAGGATCAATTCATAAAAAAAACATCAATATATTGTTGTTGTTGTTGTTGTTGTTATTATTATTATTATTATTATTATTGTACACGTACATATGTATTAAGCATATTTTTCTGTAATTGAAGTTCTATAATTGTGGCGCACACACACACACACACACTCGTACAATACCCGTGTACAACAAGGGTACTTAAAAATTAATATTTGGACAATAAAAAGTAGAGTAATTCATATTTTGTTTTTTGTGAAATTATTCATAATAATAATGATGTTATATTTATTCAAACGGCGCAATGCACCTTGGGTCGCTACGGAAACAACCTCCTTGTATAATTACAAGGGTAAGGTCTGCGTACAACTGACCCCCCAGACCCCAACCTGTTGGGAATGTACTGGGTATGTTGTTGTTGTTGTTATATTTATTCAAAATTGCACCTGCATTTTACACTCAATTTGTCAAAATTGGTAATTTTTAATTATATTTATAAAGTTATATATTTCTAAATAAATATTTACATCTTCCTGAATTTGATTCTTTTTTTTTCAAAAATTAAGTGTTATTGTATTGTGATCGTAATTTATAGTTTTTGAGCCGGTTTCTCTGGTTTCTTAATTTTTAAATATTGATTCATATATTTGATAATTCAAAATATAAATTTAATACATATAAATTTAATATCTTTCTAACTTTATGAAACTAAAAATTATTTTCATTAATTATGATATTTGTTTATATTTATTGTTTTGAACAGATAATAACATTCAATTCTTTATATACTTTATTTAAGTCGAGAAGTAATATTTTTGAATATTTATTTTATGTAATATTTAATTTCACATTTTCCCCAAAATCCGTGGAAAAGATACACTAAAACAATTAGTTTATGGTATATTAAAGAGTTAGATTTATATTATTTTATAAAGTAATTATAATGTTATTTGATATTTTTCAATTTGGTTTGATAAATAAATTTAGTTTTATTTACATAGATAGATGAAATTATTTTACAATTTATATTCCAGTATGGATGTCAAATCGATGATCGTTAAAAGATGATTAATTTTGTATATCATACATGAAAAGAAATGCAAATATAAAGTTTATAAACTCTTACAAAGAAAATTTCATATTTATAGCAATTAATATATGAATTAAATCAGAAAAGGAAACGTAGTATAGGGTAATTTATGAAAAGAAAAGCTAAAATAGTTTTTGATAATTCCCAAAGAAATTTAAAACAGTTTTTAAGTTATTTGGTTTCCTTAAAAAAATTAATTTCTATCCGAACCTAGTTTCAAAGCATGAATTCCGAAGCGCACATGCTGGAATTCTATATAGGGGGGTTTATGTATCGCTTTATACAATTACAATTACTGTTATTTTTTGTAGTTTCTCATTTTTTTCTGTGTATCGATCATGCCATTTTATAAAGTGCCAATGTTTTGTGAAACATGGAATTCTGGTAGATGAGCATCTACCTCTGTTGTAAGTTTCTTTGATATTTTGTTTGTTTACATACGGGAACGGGCAACTATCGCCTGTTTACGCCACATTCTATTTGTTAATTGCGAGATTTGATTAAGAAAATAATTGATCTCTCTCTTCACAAATCACTATGTACATGGCATGCAAAATGCTTTTTGTTGTGTTATGGTATTTTGCTCTTTCCGTAGCTCTACTTATTCATTTACAATCTTCTATTAATCACATCTCTCATTGCAGGATCTATCAATGCTGAACAGAGATCCCGCAAAGGTGCTATACATTAGTGGCCATGCTCTAGAAAGTAGTCTTCAGTCCGAGAATGGTGTTCCAATAAAAGCATGGCAAGGGGAAGCAGATGACACTGCACTTCTCGATCTTATTCCATTCTTGGAATGTAAGCATTTAATATGTAGTTCAATGCTTGGAACTCACAGATTCACTTAATGAATACGGAGATATGTTTTGCAAAGTTTCTAGTTAAATACGTCAAGGCGTTTTTGATTTCAGATGTTGCCAAACACCGGCCATCTGATATCCGAACTGTTCTAGCTTCTTATCAAGGCCGTGATATAGCAAAAGAGTTCATTGAACGGTCAAAAGAGCATCAGAGGTTTGTTTCTTTTCTAGATCTATTTTCTTGTTACTTTTATTCCTGTTTTGGAAATGTCGATTTTCACCTCTCTTAATGGCTGTCACTCTGTGTGTGTGCGTATTATTCTATCGTCATCCTTTATGATGTGTTATGTCATCTAGTGGAGACAGAGCTTTGAAAAAGATACAGTAGTGTATATGCATACCCTGCATGAGTGCTGGATAGTCTCTCTTATGTTAGACCATTTTCAGACATCAAAAGCGCCAGTGATTTGCTATGAAAACAATTTTGCTCCCTAGTGTTTTTTTCCTTAACTCCAGGATATTTTGACCTGGAGTACTTGTTAAAGAAAGACACGAAAATTTTCATAGTACACAGGAGAATTAATAAAAACTTTGAGGCTTATCTTTAGAAAAGACATTTTTTATTTTTCCACGGGTATTTTTCCTCGGTGAATTAACAAAAACTTTGTTATATTCCAATCGATTGCTCTTATTCCAAGCTCAAACTTTTCATTGTGCACAGGAGAATGCTGGAGCAAAAGCAACAAGGCCGTCTCTGGAGACGTTAGGAATATCAAGTGTGCAAGTTTTTTTGAATGACGAGCAGTCATTTTCAATTCTCTATGTTTTCCATCAGTAATGAAGTATTTTTTCCTTTAATTAGCCATGTTCCTCGGATAACTTGCAGCTGGATGAGATGAGTATTAATTTTTGGCAGTCAGAGTGAGTGAGAGCAAAATGATTGCTCCGTTATTCGGTGAACTGATGTCTATTCTGTTCTTGGTTTGCATGGTTTATGTGGAGTTTTCGTGGGGAATTTTTGTAATTTGGTAGATGGTTGTTTATTTTTTATTTTTTTTTTTCAGAAATTAAGCTTTGTTAACAAGGTTTCAAAGTTGTAGACAATTATCTGTAGTTTTGACTTCTTTGTTAATAATTCTCTAGATTTGTTAAGGTAATTAATGGTTGTGTTGATGTATGTTCTTGAATTCCTTATAGTATCCATAATGCTGTGGTTCAATTTGGCTTAACTGTAATACTAATAGAGTTAAAATGAATGATTTGGAGAAATTTAAGTAAACGTAAGCTAATACTCGATATGCAATATTTTTTTACTTGTGTTTAAGATGGTGTAATTAAATATATTTATGAGTGATTTTACTAGAATAATAATTTTATGTGGACTCGTTTAGGTTGAGATCCATATCCTTCTCAATCTGATAATGAACTCCTCTCCCATCCAATCCCGTCCTCGGAACCAACCCACCTCTATTCCATTTTATAGACCATATCATATAGATGTGATTTTATTTTTATTTGTATTGGAGAGAATTTTTTTACACAAAAATATAAAATTTGATGTGGTATCAGACATTTTCTCAAAATAGTATAAAAAGTTTGAGTTTAATTTTGATATGAAACTAGTCTACACCCGTCAATCACATGTTCATGCATATAAATAGAAACACGAATAAGCAACTTGTTGAAGATGTCAGTGAGCAGGAAGTTGGTCGAAACATGACGAAGAGAAATGAAGCCTTCATTGTATTTAACGCTCACAATGTGGCAATCAATATCAAGACGTTTGGTCCTCTCGTGAAAGACATATGAATTAACAACTTTACTCTTTAACTGTAACTTTTACAATCGAACAATAAATAATATAAAAATTAGCTCAGTTTTTATGATCCCAAAAAATTATGTATATAGAATATAATATGTACTATTACGAAAATAAATTAAAAAATTATATACATTTATGATTAATATTTAACTTGCTAATTTTACGCTCGATTAAATTAAATATATTATATACTTTTTTGAAAATAAATTAAAAACTAATACAAGCTATAACTAGGTTTTGTAAAATTAATATATAATATGTATTATTGACGGTAAACGTCAACCATCTTTGATTAGCTCACTTAAATATTGATATGAGATACCGTATCGGGTCGACTAGGCCTGAGAAGCATCCAGTTGAACTGGCAGGTCGACCTGAGGATGAAAACCACAGATGTCGTTGAAGCATCACATTGATTATGACTCCACCGGCTAGAAGATGCGCCAATAGGTCGAGCTAGGACCCCCAGATGGCCTGGTAGAAACTCGACCTGGGAGTATGCAGGTAGATGGATCGAACACACGGGCATAATGAGAAGATAATCTAGCTAGATGCCTGCCGAGTTAGTCATATGATTAGACCGTCTAATAGTGAAAACTAAGAAAAAGGAAGGAATATTATTATGATAAGAATCACATGTAGATTGAGACAAGTGGCCTAACGGAACCGGGTAGTTCAGGCACTCGGGCAATACGAACGGGCCGTTCGGGCACCTGGGCAGCCCATCAGGCAAGCTTAGGAAACAAGATACCACCCTATATAAAGGGGTGATATATGACAATAAAAAATCTACAAACTCTTAATACTTACAAAGCTTACATACATTGTTCATCATCTTCATCATCATTGTGGACTGACTTGATCGTCTGAGTGCTAACACCAAGAACCCTTATCGGCCCATTTTGCAAGTCTTTGAACAGGTCAGGAAACAAATCCAAGTCGTGCAAATCCGGTCAAGTTCTCTTTTCACACCAAATATGTAATAACTAAAAATAGCATAACCAAAAGATATAAAAAATGGGTTGTTATAAATTTCTTGGTGCAGTAAAAATAACAGATCAAGCTGATTATACTATGAAACTAGTATTAACCATGTGCATTTGCACTTGCACATATTATCAAAAATAAATTGATAATAAATATTATATATAAAAATCTTAATTAAAATAAAAATTATTTAATATTATGTATCACACTTATAATTGAGTCATTACATCAAAGACTCTAAGTTGAATTTTTAAAACTAAAAAGAAATAACAATATAAATGGAGATTTATCATACATTAATGACTATTATTATATGAATATAATGAATATTCTAATTTTTATATTCTTTGAATATTATATTAATAAAAAACATACAATTATAAACAAAGTAAAACAAAAAACTTAAAATGGACAACATAAATATTATATACCATATAAATTGATATATTTATATAATAAAATACATGAACGTTTAAATTATTTCATCTTATAATTTTTCACTTATAAACAAATACTTATATGGTGTTATTTCATTATAAAAATATGTGGTCATTATTAAATATCATAATCACTTATTACACAATAATAAGAATGGTTATTTTTTTTTTCACTAATATGCAGGTAAAATAAAGAACCATTGCATCTCAATAGACTAATGCATAAAATTTCTTTATGTTACAACAATTAAAAAATTAATTTGAATACTAATTGAATAAAAAATAACATAAGTTAATAAAACTAACATTAATTTACATTATTAAAATGACTGAAGAAAAAAATAGGTAGGATTTTGTATGAATTAATAATGGAGTCCCTCCAAATGAAAACACAAAATAATAGATATGATAATGATTTATTTTTATAATTTCATTCCTAAGGCAAATTCAAATCTATGTATTACTTTACTTCTAATAATTGCCTTAAAAATCAAATTTATTGTACTAATTACCAGAAAGGATATGTTATTGTAACAGTTACATAAAATAATAAAAATATGTAATATTCCTTACCAAATTAACAAATAGTGTAATTATACTATTTTTAAGACAACCATTCTAACTTTATTGAATATTAATTAAAATATTAATTACAAATTAATAGATGTAACCACAAATAAAATAGAAGTTGAAACATACTATAATTAACTCAAAAATATGGGCAGAAAAAAGTAGGCTATTGCATTAATGTAATAGTCTACAATTATATACATACATATATATATATATATATATATATATATATATATATATA